GGATGATTCTGCTTATACAAAAGGTTGTCCCAAAAGTTCGTAAATACTTGAAAAATTTAAATACCAATTTTATTTAGCGTTATGTATACTGTCTTTGTATTATGTATTATTATGTATTCACTGTAATAATATTATTCGCCAAGTAATAAGAAAAATGTTTTAAGAAAAACATGAACTTTTGGGACAATCTTATATATTCTATACTCAAATGTTTTAAGCAATAACATACAGGATATACAGTTTCAGACGATTGTTTACATATGATATTGCAGAAAAGTATTTTTTATTAACAATCATTTCTTATGTTTATAATTTGATACTCTGTAAACTTCCCTCATTGCTTATCTTTTGTTTATCATTCATAGTTTGTTCTTGCCTTAAATAAATTGCTGTGTCATCCTGAAGTTTGTCTTTCCTAATTTTCAACGTGGCAATATAAAACCAAACGAACGCTGGGCTGAATAAAAAAAAACTTCACAAGAAACTCTTAACCATTTAATGATTTTGATGATATTATCACGTAGAAAATGAGGAAAGACAAACTTCAAGATGACACAGCAATTTATTTAAGGCACAAATTAATGGAAGAAAAATCAAATAAACGTTGATTTAGGTTTGTTCCATGATAGTTGTCCATTCCATTTTTTTTTATAAATCAAGAAAAACTAATCACGAAGGCGTTTCGAGCTGTTGGTCTTCGTCAGCGTGGTACAGGTTGTACCTAAACGACCAAAAATGATGTTTAAGAGGCTTCCTAAAAATTTAAAATATGAGTATTCAAGGCCACAAATTTGCCTATTTACATTGAACATGTAGAAATTAGGAAAAATTAGAAAAAAGGTTAGGTGTTGATATGTTTTTTTTTTTTTAAATCGTTAACCAAAATTCTGGGCTTACATAGTCTACACTGCAACGAACAGGGCTAACAACCTGATGTGCGTTCGTGATTGAATTTTCTTGATTTATCAAGAAAATGAGTTGAACAAATATCATGGAACAAATCTACAATTCAAGAATACATTATTCTGAGAATGGTGTCAGTAAGTCAGCAAAATGATATGAACTATACAAATCCAGAATATGGAGAGAAAGTTGATGTTTATCTATATTCTTTTTTAAACAAACTTCAACGAAATAAATTGTACAAAGGATCTATAAAAATAAAAAGGTACATCCTGACCAGGAGCCTGTTTCTAGTGGAACAGAAATCAACAAAACATTGATTTAACCTGTTCCCTGATATTTGACCAGCACATTTTATTGATAAATCAGGGTCAATTATAACAGATATTATTAGATTTTTTAAAAATATATATCTATTGAGGTTTATTGAGAGAGAGAGAGGTGAAAATACTTACTGCGTGAAACTGTAGGACAAGATGAGCCTGAAAGATCCAAAAAACTGCGACCAGCAATAGCAGGGAGAGCCAAATTCATGGCAGGTATACTACTGAAAATGATATTATCAGATTTATTATTTTTGAAGAATTCTATCAGCTTGAAGAAAGACCAGTTGACTTTAAAATCTGACTTGAGAGATAGAAGAGCCTGGAACGATCATCAAAATTTTAGTGACTATATGATATTGACCCTATTTCAGACGTGTATGATTCTCCTTTTTGCTTATCCCTAGTACATATGATACAGGCCATGATAATCATGGTTAGTAGAAGTAGGCGACTGCTTTTACTATAAGTGCACCACATGTCTACACATGTTAAAAGCAGTTCGACTTTGCACTTACAAATATGCCAGAGCCCCGAATCTACCGGCAAAGGCCTCATCCCCTTTTTATAAGGTAAAAAAAAAACAATAAAAGAAATAAATGAAAAATAACTACAGTTAAACCTGTCTATAGCGCCCTCTCTCTTTAGCACCCATTTTGGTGAGTCCCAAGAGGGGGCGCTATAGACAGGTTTAACTGTATTTACATAAAAGAGAAAAATGCAAAGTATCTATTTACATAACTAACATACAACAGAGACTATAAAAGTTATATAGAGTCAGGTCCCACCTGTCCCACAAGAGCCGAGCTCTGGACACTACCAAAAGATCCTGTATCTGGATCCTGCAGCTCTGCCAGTTCTGAGGCCACAGTCGTCAGATTCACATCTGGGATGTTCTGGCCACGTCTATGGGCACACACCAAGGCAAGGACTGCCGTGGCCTTCATATCTGACACACAGAAATCTCATGTTCAAACAATCTATATTATATACTTGAAGTCTTTTTCTCTCACACACACACACACACACAGATAACAAAAGAAACAAAAACACAAAATCAACTTTTCAAGTCACATAGAGATTATCGTAGCTCAATGCAAGAAAATAAAGAACATTCTTTTTTAATAGATGGAAAAAATTGCCGGGAGGAAATTGATCCATAGGGCATTTCTCCCGGCAAAATAAACGTCAAAAACTGACGCCATCTATTGACCGTCGCCGCAAACTAGCGGCCTCGGGTCGGTGACAAAGCCACAACACCAGCTTTGGCAAATTGAGAAGCGTTCACCTAGAGACCATGGTTTCGGGCTAATGGCCCTCGTCATTTGGGGCGACGGTCAATAGATGGCGTCAGTTTTTGATGTTTATTTTGACGGGAGAAGCGCCCTATGCTTCTATGAATTCTTTTATCAATTTGTGAAAAATCTTGGATGTTTCAGAAGGAAATGCAATATATAAATCACTCATAAGATCAAGAGCAACCTATGCTAGCGTAAAATGGTATCCATATATTGCTCTATGTTCTTTACAGAAACTTCATCCATTGCAAGTTTATATAAAATATAATAAAGAATTATAAAATCTAAGCTTTCTTTGTACTCTATTGGTTTGACTATACATTATTAGATTAAACACTATATAATGTGAAAAAAGAAAAAATAAAAAGGTCAGATGTTGATATTAAAAATAAAAAAGGCATATCCTGACTAAGAGCACATGTGCTTTACAAAAGGCAGAGCGTCATCTGGTGGAACAGAAATCAACTAAACATTGATTTAGCCTGTTACCTGATATTTGGCCAACCCAATTTCTTGATAAATCGAGAAAAGCCATCCACGAACGCATTTCGCGCTGTTGACGCTCGTCAGCGTGGAGTTGACTGTACCACTGCGACCAAAAATATTTTTATATCTATTTATTCATATATTTATTCTGTATTTAACCTTATATAATCTTATATGGACGTTGTAATAAAGTAGTTTCAATCTCTCTCTCTCTGAAGTGAGGACTTTGCACTTTACTTGTATTGACAAGATGTCAATAAAAATATGTTAATTTTCAATTCTCTCTCTCTCTCTGACGTCGCCATCAGCATATAAGCTGGGTTATTTGTGAGCCTAGAAGTAAGGAGCCAGAACAAACAGAATCGGTCTAAAGAGGGTATTGTAGTTAAGAGTTACATACAGTTAGGTTATCATGCTTCAAAATTGACCATAGATTCCCATAACTTCCTCTTATTCCATCTCACCTTCTCGGGTTCGAACCCCCTAAACCGGGTTAACTATGATTCTAAACGTGTGTTCTTCATTTGTCTTCAGGCTAATGTACTTCTACTCTTGACAATGAGTGTAAGTTGAATGAGGAGTCTACTGAGACAATGTTGACTTTACACATTACACAATACAGCATGCCAGTTCTTGATTGGAAAACAAAGTCAGCCCTCTCTATTTCTGACCTCACTATCAGCATATAAGATGGGTTGTTTGTAAGCCTAGAAGTAAGGAGCCAGTACAAACAGCAACGGTCTACAGAGAGTATTGTAGTTAAGAGTTACATACAGCTAGGTTATCATGCTGCCAAATTGACCAGAGATTCCCATAACTTCCTTTTATTCCATCTCATTTTCCCGGGTGTCAACCTCCTAAACCGGGATAACTATGATCTTAAACGTGTGTTCTTGATTTGTCTTCAGGCTAATATACTTATACTCTGTACAATGAGTGTCAGTTGAATGAGGAGTCTAGTGAGACGATGTTAGCTCCACACATTACACAATACAATATTTATATGTAGAACGAAATTTGACAATTATACCGCAAATGTTTCTTTTGAACAAAAATCAAAATTTTATTTTAAGGAGAAATAACAATTATTTCTAACCTTAGGGATTAAGTATGATAGGATGAATTGTAAAGGGTAATGATAAACCGAAAAATAAAGTGTCCAGGAATTATCATTACTCTTCACAATTCATCCTTTTATACTTCACCCCTAAGGTTAGAAATAATTGTTATTTCTCCTTAAAATAAAATTGCGATTTTTCCTTCAAAAGAAACATTTGCGGTATAATTGCCAAATTTCGTCTTACAATCATAAGCCGCATTATATTGTATTATAAGCAATATATATATATATATATAATATATATAATACACTGCGGCATGTAATTGTAAAACGACACTTGCAAGTTTAACCGCATGAGTTTCTTTTCAACGACAAAATGAAAATTTTATTTTAAGGTGAAATATCGACAATTTCTAACCTTTTGGATGAGGTATGAAAGGATGAATTATGAAGAGTAATGACGAACGGAAAATAAAAGTGTCCAGGGATGGGAATCGAACCCACGACCTTCCGCTTACTGGGCAGATGCCATGTCCACTAGGCTACCCTGGACGTATTTTTTCCGTTCGTAAATGATACATAAAGTAACTTATAATACAATATAATACACTGCGGCATGTAATTGTAAAACGACACTTGCAAGTTTAACCGCATGAGTTTCTTTTCAACGACAAAATTAAAATTTTATTTTAAGGATCCCTGGACACTTTTATTTTCCGTTCGTCATTACTCTTCATAATTCATCCTTTCATACCTCATCCAAAAGGTTAGAAATTGTCGATATTTCACCTTAAAATAAAATTTTAATTTTGTCGTTGAAAAGAAACTCATGCGGTTAAACTTGCAAGTGTCGTTTTACAATTACATGCCGCAGTGTATTATATTGTATTATAAGTTACTTTATGTATCATTTACGAACAAAAAAATAAGTCCAGGGTAGGGTGGACATGGCATCTGCCCGGTAAGCGGAAGGTCGTGGGTTCGATTCCCATCCCTGGACACTTTTATTTTTCCGTTCGTCATTACTCTTCATAATTCATCCTTTCATACCTCATCCAAAAGGTTAGAAATTGTCGATATTTCACCTTAAAATAAAATTTTAATTTTGTCGTTGAAAAGAAACTCATGCGGTTAAACTTGCAAGTGTCGTTTTATGTATAATATATTTTTATAAAAATGAAGCAATCTATATTTAAATCTTTAGAAAATAAAAGAGGCATATATTGAATTGAATAATATATTTATTTGCCAATATTCCGGACATTACATCCCCTAAAATTCATTATTCCAATATATCCAGCAAACATCAATGACTACTCATTGAATCCCTCCTGTCAAGTAAATTCCACAGACTTAATAGAAACATTGATTTACCGGAAATTTATAATGTAATATTCCCTGCAGCCACCCAACCCCCCAATGTATCATGAACGCATGACGCACGAGTAGTCTCACGTGTGTTTGTTTCTGATATTTATTTTCTATAGTTCGTTATACATTTGCCTAGCCAAACCTTAGTGTAATATAATTTAATTTACTTTATTATATTTTCCTGTAGAAGGGCGTTGCCCGAGAGAGAAAGCTCGAAATAAATTTATTTGGAAAAGAAACTCATCCCTCAAGCTTATTGATTTGAACAATACATATATATATTAAAAACAAAGAAGGCATATTCTGACCAGGAGCACATTGGCTTTACAGAAGGCAGAGCGCCATCTAGTGGAACAGAAATCAACTAAACATTGATTTGACCTGTTCCCTGATATTTGACCAACGCAATTTCGTGATAAATCAAGAAAAGCCATCCAAGATTGATGGCGCTCTGCCTTCTGTAAAGTACAAGTGCTCCTGGTCAGGATATGCCTTCTTTGTTTTTAATATCAACACTTGACCCACTTATTTTTATATATTTTTTCTATTGTTTTTTCATATATATATATATATACTTTAAAATGTCATAACACCTTGATAAAGGTTGGCGCTCAGCCAATGAAATATTGGTAAAATAAATGATATTTTGATCCAATATATGCCTTTTCAATTAAATATATATATTATCATCTAAATATGATATATACGTTCACGGGGAATATTTACCCAAATCGTAGGTATTTTCTATTGGATTCTTGATGGCCATTTGTTGCAGATCGTCCATGTGATCTTCAGATACCTCCACGTCCGCAATACAGAGAGCGAGGGATATAAGAGGGTTAGGATCAAAGAGATCTATTGAGGCTAGACGATCAGTAAGATTGAGTCCATAGAAATCTTGGGGATCACTACATATGGCCTTCAAGGCGAGGATATTTAGAGCAAGACCAGTTCCTTCAATAAGAGCTGTATCGTTCCGTAGGAAAGCTGAAGAAATCTCAGTTTTAAGTTTCGATGCTGCAAGAGTCATAGGGCTAGATGAATTGCCACTAAATGCATTCAAATTTGAATTTATAAGTTGGAATGTTGTAACCATACGTGCTAAATTCTTGCCTCGTGTAGCTGACAATAAACCTTGGAGAATTTGAAATCCTTTGTTCATATTTTCCTCGGCTCCTGTCTTATTCCATGATGCTCTCCCTAACACACACATAGATTTTTATTGATTTAAATATTCTGTGAACATAAATTAAAAGAGATGAACTTACAGCAGTCTTCATCCGAGTGATCCAGACAATCATTAACTCCATCACAGAGATTCTGTGGAGAGATACATTGACCGTTAGAACAGGTAATTTCATCCTGGGTACATGGACGTGAAGTTGTCGTAGGAACTGCAATCATTAAGATTTAACAATCATGATGATCAGTAGTATTGAGCAAAATCAATCAATTCTCCAGGGAAGAGTGTCTTCTTCAAAAACATTTTATTGTTCTCTAGCTTTCTGGCACGGAACCTCTTCTACAGAAGAAAACATGGTATAATGATACGCCAATAGATGACAATTATTCCGCCTTCTACATGCTATCAGGTTAGCATTCTAAGGCACAAATGATACGCCAATAGAACACGATTTAAATATAATCGGATACTATTTCGCATATTTTTATGAAGATATAAAAAAATATTATTTTTTACATATTAACTATTATACAAATTGAGACAAAATATTTTAAAAATATATATCTCTAATAAGAGGACAAACAAATGAATAAATATAGGCCAACTGAAAAAACCAAGGAAGCAAAGAATACATAGTTAGGTTGTAGTTATCATTAGTATACTGACAACCAGATTGGAATATTATATACAAGTAAATAACTACCACGACCTTTTAAACGTATTTCTAAGTTTCAGTGACCTGCTGTCACTCTCTTCAAGATAAACAAATCTTACATTTATAAAACGATGGCATGCCATATATATATAAGAAAAGGAAGCTTCAAATCACGATGTTTCTTTTCAAATATAAAAAAAAAATCTACCGTTCTTACTTCGATGAAAAAATATTGAGAGAGCTTGGTTCATCAGTGGTGAACCCTTCCAGCGGTTTCACCAATTCAATCTACCCAGAAGGCTTTTTAGAGTTCTAATATTGTATTTGAAGATGCTACATAGAAGCATATATATAAGCATAATCGCCCATAACAGTATAATAGCTCTAAGAAACGGTCTTGTAGATAGAATTGGCGAAACCGATAGGAGGTTTGGCCACTGATGAGCCAAGTCTTCATAATATTTTATCATCGCAGTAAGGACAGTAGAACTCCCAAAGCCTTCCTGAGAAATCAAGAAAAGGATATTTGAGTCAAGGTTTGCGTAGTAACGATTTTCATTTGAAAAAATAAGAGGAAAAAAAAGAAGTAAAATGGTCAGGTGTTGATATTAAAAACAAAATTAGCATTTCCTGATCGCGCTTGGACGCCATTCAGTTGATTTTTGTTCCACTAGATGGCGCTCGGTTATCTAAAATTGCTCATGTGAGCAGTTAGAAAAGGCAAATTTTGTTTTTAATATCAACACCATTTTTCTCTTTTTTTTCTTCTTATTTTCCCATAATTGTATATCTATGAATGATTATTATTTTAAAATACTAGTGCAAGACTTTGAACTTTTGCATGTATTGATAAGATGACAATAAAATTATGTTGTCAATTGTCTAAGAGTAAACTGACAGGGGTTAATGTAGTATGTAGTTAAATTTGTATGTAGTTAAGGTAGTATGTAGTTAATGTAGTATGTAGTTAAGGTAGTATGTAGTTGAGGTAGTATGTAGTTGAGGTAGTATGTAGTTGAGGTAGTATGTAGTTGAGGTAGTATGAAGTTGAGATAAAATGAAGTTGAGGTAGTATGTAGTTAATATAGTATGTAGTTGAGGTAGTATATAGTTGAGGCAGTATGTAGTTGAGGTAGTATGTAGTTGAGATAGAATGTAATTGAGGTAGTATGTAGTTAAGGTAGTATGTAGTTGAGATAGAATGTAGTTGGGGTAGTATGTAGTTGATATAGTATGTAGTTGAGGTAGTATGTAGTTGAGACAGTATGTAGTTGAGGTAGTATGTAGTTGAGATAGAATGTAGTTGAGGTAGTATGTAGTTGAGGCAGTATGTAGTTAAGGTAGTATGTAGTTAAGGTAGTATGTAGTTGAGATAGAATGTGGTTGAGGAAGTATGTAGTTGAGGTAGAATGTAATTGAGATAGTATGTAGTTAAGGTAGTATGTAGTTAAGGTAATATGTAGTTGAGATAGAATGTAGTTGAGGTAGTATGTAGTTGAGGTAGAATGTAGTTGAGGTAGTATGTAATTGAGGTAGTATGTAGTTAAGGTAGTATGTAGTTGAGGCAGTATGTAGTTAAGGTAGTATGTAGTTAAGGTAGTATGTAGTTAAGGTAGTATGTAGTTGAGATAGTATGTGGTTGAGATAGTATGTGGTTGAGGTAGTATGTAGTTGATGTAGTATGTAGTTGAGGTAATATGTAGTTGAGGTAGTATGTAGTTGAGGTAGTATGTAGTTAAGGTAGTATGTAGTTGAGGTAGTATGTAGTTAAGGTAGTATGTAGTTAACGTAGTATGTAGTTGAGGTAGTATGTAGTTAAGGTAGTATGTAGTTGAGGTAGTATTTAGCTAAGGTAGTATGTAGTTGAGGTAGTATGTAGTTGAGATAGATGGTAGTTGAGGTAGTATGTAGTTGAGATAGTATGTAGTTGAGGTAGTATGTAGTTGAGATAGAATGTAGTTGAGATAGAATGTAGTTGATATAGTATGTAGTTGAGGTAGTATGTAGTTGAGGTAGTAAGTCGTCGAGTTAGTATGTAGTTAAGGTAGTATGTAGTTGAGATAATATGTGGTTGAGGTAGTATGTAGTTAAGGTAGTATGTGGTTGAGATAGTATGTAGTTGAGGTAGTATGTAGTTGAGGTAGTATGTAGTGTTACTTACTGATCTCGTAGTTCGTGATGCTGTAGTTGGCGATGAAACCTTTGTTCGTAATTGAAGAATCCGATCTCATTTCAATCTTCATCACGTTTGTAATTGAGGTGAAGGATTTCTCAGAAAAAGATCCGCAGTAAAATCCATGGTAACCGCGTAGACGAAGAGAAGTGTCGACGCTGGTAACTCTGATTAAGTCGAAACAAGCCTAGAACACATTTGACATGGACCCAGAACAGCTTTACACACCCAAGATAGTGTACATTGCGACTTCTGTGATAGAGATGTATGGAGAAATCTGAGGCTCTTAATTGGACACGACAACAACAACAGAAAATTGACATGGATCCAGAACAACAGCTTTACACACCCAAGACAGAGAACGACTGCTGTGAAAGAGCTGTATGGATGTATTTGAGGCTCTTCATTGAACACGAGAACAACAGAAAATTGACATGGATCCAGAACAACAGTTTTACACACCCAATATAGATAACATTGCGACTGCTGTGATAAAGATGTATGGAGACATCAGAGAATCTTCATAGGACACGACAACAACAACAGAAAATTGACATGGATCCAGAACAACAGCATTACACACCCAAGATAGAGAACGACTGCTGTGAAAGAGATGTA